GTTGGAGGAGCTTGGGGACGTCCGAGAGAAGCTGCCGCCCTCTGGGCTCCTCAGGCTCCTGCCGCTGGAGTCCCCAGACCCAGAGCGCCTTTGGAGAAGCTGTCCGCTCCGCCAGGACGTCTTTGCAGAGCCCCTTTCGTAACCTCCTCCAGGACGACCTGGCGACCCCTGTGCCCCCGTAGGCAGGGCGCCCCCAGCAGCCAGGGCCTCTGTGGGGCTGGGCGGAGTCGGGGCGAGCGGCACTTCCTCTCCTGCGCCCACGTTTGGGAGCCTCCCTGCCACGTCCTGGCTCGGGACCCAGTTGTCAGGCCGGGTCCTTGCCCTCAGGGGACCCATCTGAGGAGCCAGGGTGGCCCTGGGGACCCTGTTGGAGGCCACCCTGTGCCTTTCATGCTGTTCACCGCACACAGGGGCTCTGGTCCAAACCTTCCTCCACACTGGCCACACTGAGCACTGGCCTTTATGTCCGAGTGACCAGCAGGCGGGTGGGGTCCCGAGTGCTGCGGATGGCCCGGGCTGGTCACTGGGCAGGGACGCGTATCAGTCCTGCAGCCCCCCGTGCCGGAAGGGGCCGGCCCGGCACCTCCCTGCCCTGTGCTGGCACCACCAGTGTAGGGCGGTCAGGGGCCGAGCAGCAGGGCAGTGGCACCAGCAGCTTTCGGCCCCAGCCTCTGCCACGCCACGGCTCACACAACAGGAGTCTACACTCAAAAGCTCGCTTCTTGCCTCAGAAATCCAACCATGTTCCCCTCACCCTCCGCGTACCACACACCGTGAGCTGCTCATGGTCACCCTTAACCTGCAGGAGCCTGATGAGCCGGGCCTGCGCTCATGCGTGTGCTGCAGGTGCGCAGACAGCCTGTGCCCCGCCTGCCACAGCGACTCCCTGCTGCTTGTCCTCCAGTCTCCTTTGCACACTGACGTCGGGCTGCTGCACAGCTGGGCCGTGGTGTTGTGTTTTCTCAGATTGATTTATCTGAAAGGCAGAGTTATAGGGGGAGGGACAGAGAGGTCTTCCATCTGCAGGTTCACTCCCCAATGGCCACAGTGGCTTGGGCTGAACCATGCCAAAGCCAAGGAGCCTGGAACTCCATCCGGGTCTCCCACGTGGGTGCAGGGGCCCAGGCATGTGGGCCGTCCTCTGCCTCTATCCTTGGGTGCATTAGCCGGGAGCTGGACGGGAAGTGGAGCAGCCGGACTCCAGTTGGCGTTCGTATGGGGTGTGGTCATCGTGGGTGGCGCCTTCACACTCTCCCACAGCTCCGCGGGCTGTGTCTTACAGGAACCCAGCGGCCCAAGAAGCCCTGCTGTGTTCGGTGCCATCATCTCCTACGTTGAAGAATTTTTTTCAACCGTTGGGATTTCTCTGACAAATCAACAGCAGCAGGTACGTCCTCCTTAAATGCTTGGTTCTGGAGCTGCCGGCTTTCCTGGTGGAATGTCCATTTGAACAGCTAATTATCGTGCCAATTTGTGTAGGTACCGGAGAATCCTTTCCTTTCCCTAAGAACTGAATGTTCGGAGCCACTGTGAATGACCCTGTGTGGCTGTGTGAGGCTGTCCCGTGTGCACACGCTGTGTCTCGCCCTGACACTGTGTGGCTGGGTGAGGCTGTCCCGTGTGCACACGCAGAGGTCACTGCAGTAAGAGGACGCTCGCTCTTCCTGAGCCCCTGCTAGCCCCAGCCCCTGCCCGTTCCATGTTTTCTGCAAACAGAGTTCTGGCCCCATACACCCCTTGGGCGTCTCTGCTGACCCCAGTAACCACTGCATGCACATGGATCCATGTGGGACAAACTCCAGGTTTCCCTCGACCTCCCGACAGCGCAGGCCAGTCTCTGCATGGATCCTTGATTTAGGTGTGACGTTTGCCCGGGGCCGGGTCAGGCTGTGTTCCTGGGAGGAACATCACAGGCTCCCCGCCCGGCTCACCAGGTGACCAGCAGGAGTGCCCCTGGCGCCACCTCCTGGTGCTGCTCCCCGGGCCCGTGGTCGGCTGGGCTGGCCGCATTTCCTGGTGGATTCCCACTGGGTCCACGCCTTGCCAGGCTGATTTTACTCCGGTGTTCACAGCCACAGGGACACAAGGTCCTGGCTGTGTTTGATTGGTTAAGCCCACCACCGTCATTGCATTACGTGGCTGGGAGCCGGCCCTGTCCACCTGACGGCCCCGTCATTCTTTGGATGTCCTTGTGCATTCCTGGAGACGAGCCAGGACGTGGGCTTGGCCGTTTCTAGGGGAGCCGCTTCTTGGCGGAGCAGGGTGTTGAGATGCAGGGGTCTGTGTGTTGCTTGCTGTGTAGGGGCCGTGCGCGTGGACACACACGCATACACACACACACACACACCTGCACATACACTGGTTTCTGCACCGAGCCCCTGGATGACCATGACCCCCACCTACTGCAGGTGACTCCCTCCCCCTGCTGGGAGAATCCCACCCTCCAGACCCTCCTGCACAGGCTCCCTGTGGACCCTGGCACCCCCCAAGGCTGCCACCCAACCTGTGGGTGCACCCAGCGGTCAGGGCTTGAGGGACACCCAGGAGTGTTCTGTGTGCCTGTTTCTGACTGAAGGCAGTGGAGCCCCTCAGGGTGTGCCAGAGACCCTCGGCCCGGCCGCTCCCTGTGTCCACAGCACTGCCGGCCGAGGACCGGGCGTGAGCGGCCGTCAGGAAGGCTGTGGCCACCTCTGACCCTGGCGACTGCGGCAGTGTCCAGTTTGGTCCCTTTCTGCGCCTGCTCACGCGGGCGGTGTAGGCTGTGGCAGTGGCTCACGTGTCGGGCTGCACCAGCCCCGCGTGTGGCCCTTCCCACGCCCTGCTGCTGGTGAGGAAGGGTGTTGCCCTGTCAGAAGCGGTTCCTTCAGCGTCCCCAGCCTGGCCTGTTTGTAACAGCGAGAACCGTCTTGTGGAAGCAAGTCGAGGGTTGTGTGAGGCTTGAGAAGTGGGACCCCAGTGTGCTGCGAACGCGAGCCCTTGCTGACCGCTCCGGGGTGTGCGGGAGAGGACACCTGCCCCGTCCGTGCTTTGCAGCTGGGTGCAGCTGCGTCCATCTTCATCCAGCTGGTGGCTGAGCCCCCTGGCGTCCACGCTGCTGCAGGCACCGGGGGCCATGCGTCCTGATTTCACGGGTCCATGAGGTTGGCCGTGCACCTCTCCTCAGGGACCCGCACTGTGAAGGACAGACAGCTCCAAGGAGGGGAGGCTGGAGCTGGCTGCCCCCGTCGGCCTCACCCTGCCCCACAGCGGCCTCCTGGGCCCCTTCAGTGCACAGGCGGGCGGGTGCGTGGGACGGGACCGTGCACTCCCCTGCCGGCCCTCCCACCTCCCAAGTGGGCCATCAGCTGGGTGGGGGTGAGTGGAGATGGCTGCCGGCACCCCTTGTCCCTGCGGGGTCCTGAGCGGGGGCAGGCAGTCTTCGCCAGGCTCGGCAGCGTGGCGGGTGTGCGCAGTGTGTTTCAGGAGACGGCAGCTCGGCTGCGCTGCGCAGCGTGGTGGAGGAGCTGGTGCGCTTCCGGCTGAAGGTCCGGCAGTACGCGCTGGCCACGCCTGAGGCCAGCGGGGAGGCCCGGCGACAGCAGCTCCAGGAACGGCGGCCCCTGCTGCAGGCCTGCGATGAGCTGCGCCGGGACCTGGCTGCCCACGGCATCAGCATTAAGGTCAGCGCGGCCACCACCCAGAAGCAGAGTCAACAGGTGTCGGAGCGGCTGAGGGGCCAGGAGACCCCGGGGCCCTGCTCCCCAGGGAAGGGGGTGGGGGAGGGGCACGGAGGGTCAGCAGCGAGGACCAGGCCCTGCCAGTGACCCCACCCACCCACCCCCACAGGTCACACTGGCCTCCTGGAGGGCAGGCAGGGAGCCTGGGGGCAGCTGGTCGGACGTCCCCTCAAGCTCGCGGCGTTGCTGTCGGCCCTGGAGCGCGGCGCCCATCTGCTCACGGGCCCTCCCCTTCCTCACAGGACAGAAGCAGCACGGCATCCACGTGGGAGCTGCTGGAGCCCAGGACAAAGCCGCAGCGGCCGGGGGCTGAGCCGCAGCAATAAACGCACCACTACTGTTCTCGGCCTCGGTGCCTCACTGCAGTGCCAGACCCAGACGGTGACTCAGGGCAGAGGGCGGGGGTCGCCCACCCAGCCTGCTGAGTCCTGGGAGGCGGAGGCCCTGACACGGCCACCAGGCTGCCAGCCTGGCCCCAGGGAGCGCCCCCAGGGGTAGCGGGTGCGGCTCCGCGGCTCGTTGGCTGCGTGTGGCCTGTGTCCGGTTTGTTCAGATCCACGGCAGCGGGCTTGGGAGGCACGGTTGATGAACAGGCTCCTGAACTTTGACCTTCCCACACCTGACCATGTCCTCGCCTAGGAAGCACAGAGCTCTGGGAGGGACGTCCAGGGCAGTGTCTGGAAAAGCTCATGTGTGGACAGTAACAGGCTGAGGTGGGCGTCCCCCCGAGGCCGCGCGGCCAGGTCTCACCAGAGCTTCCTGCTAGCGCACACCCTGGAGGCGGGGGATGGCCCACATAGCTGGGTCTCTGCCACCCACACGGGAGCCCTGGATTGAGTCCCTAGCTCCTGGCCACACCCCAGCACAGTGATTTTTCTTAAACTTGGACCGGGTCAGCATCTCCAAGGGCAGAGCCTGAGTCCACACAGGTGCACATGCAGTGCAGACCCCACCCGGGACAGCAGAGGGGCCACTCCAAGGGAACCGGACACACATACACGGCACAGCTCGCCCAGGTCCACAGTGCAGAGGTCACGTTTACTGAAGTTGCACACACGAGACAGGGTGTGACAGCAGCCTTTCCCCCCTGGCCCACCAGCCCCAGCAGGGGTGCAGGCCCCCAGTGTCTGACCTGCTTGCCCAGGTCCGGATCCAGGCCCCACCGCGCCCCTCCTGGTCCTGCGTGGTCCCTGAGCCCAGGGACTCTTGGGTGTGCGGCCGTGGACAACACTGCACAGGGCCGCAGGTACCTCAGCACGCCCCACAGTCCCCACGTGATGGCGTCACCCATGATTTCTTAGCTGATTTATTCGGAAACAGGAAGTTAACCACAACCATCAGCACCCAGTCACTACGCACAACGGGTGGGTGCCACAGCCTTCGGCGGGCCTGCTGGGGAGGACGAGGACCACGACGGAGCGCTGACGCGGCTGGGGAGGGAACGGTGCAGCCTTCACGTCTGTTTGGTGACACCGGGAAGCTAAGCAGAGTTCAGGAAGACCTTAGTGTCATCGCACGCCACGCTCCCTGTTGCACATCCGCCCGACTACAGCCCTCGCAGACAGCCTGCACGCCCGTCACGGCGGCTCAGGTCTCGAAGAGCTCCCTGAAGGCGGCTCCGATCTCGGCGATCATGTCGGTGGTGGTGGTGGAGCGGCCGTGCTTCCGGAAGGCCTGCTGGTTGCACTGCCTGGTGAGGGAGCAGGCGCCAAAGGCGGCCAGCAGGAGCGGGCTGGGGCTGTGGGGGGAGCGGCGTCAGCGGAGGCTGCAGCCAGCAGGGGCTCGGACTGCGCCCTCGGCCTTGGCCCGCCCTGGCAGCCAAGAGCCACGCGTGCCTGGGGAAGCCAGCTCTGCGACTGCTGACGTCACAGCTGGGAAGGGACACCCGCGGTCTGAGGACGTAGGCACGTGCGGGGAGGGGGGGGCCAGACCCTCGGCGCCTTTCCCCAGAGGACGTGCGGGGGGGCTGCCCCCTCTGGCTTCCATGGGCAGGTCTGAGAGCACCTGTGGCGCACCAGCCACCAGCACGGTGGGAGACGGGCACCCTGGTGGTCCACGGAGCTCTGACAACAGCACTGGGCCCCACCACAGTAACTGCAGGGACGGGGCCCGGGCAGTGCTGGGCAGGGGCTGCTGCCCCGGGCGCTCTGGTGCCGCCGCCCACACGAGTGGTTCACGTGGGATCTGTCAGGGGCCCCTGGCGAGGCGGGAGCTGCTGAGCCACTGGGGAGGTCAGGCAGCTCCCAAGGGGGCATGAGGCTGTACCGTACCCGTGTGTTCTCTCCGGGCCAGCGAGGAGGGCCCAGTGCGCCAGGACGCCCAGGGAGCCCGACAGCAGGTCTCCTTGCCCGCCACACCTGCGGCCGCTGCCTTCCCGGCTGCACACGAGCACTGCACAGAGCAGACGAGAGGACGTGAGTGTGGACGCCGCTGCCACACCCCCCGTGGCGAGGCCTTCCTTCCTGTCTGTCCCCAGCAAGGACTCGAGGCGGCCTCTGGTTTAGTGAGGCGGGCAGATGGGTCTCCTGCCCTTTGGGTGACACGCCAGCACTCCTGCCGCCCGGGGCGATGTCTGCACGCACGACTGTCCCGGCCATGCCTGTGACGTGTTTCTGTCTCTCTGGGCATATTTTGAAAACCAAGTGTTGTGTTCTCTGAGTGTGTCAACCGAGAGCTTCCTGGGGAGGCAGGAGCCCCATCCCGAGCAGGGCGCCCGTGAGCACGCCCTCCACACCTGCTGGGCACGGCCCTGCGTGTGCGTGTACAGGGCACTGCACTCGCCTGTCCCTGACTCCAGTCATGAACAGTTCCTTCCCCTCCTCTGTCCCCGCTGTCGCCTGACCGGATCTGGACGAAGGAGCACTTGTCGCCACACACTCGCCCTGTGCCAGGCCTGCTGGCCGGCACACGGCTGAAGGTCGGCGGGCCCCCATGGGGGACGGTGCTTGATGATTTCACTGCCCGCGCGTGCTCCTAGTGTGTGCTGTGTGTGAGCCAGGCGCACAGCAGGGACCCGCTGGCACTCACCCTGCTGCCCGTCGGAGATGACGTCGCGCGCTCCCTTCTGGACCACGGTCACGTTGCCCAGGGCCTGGCTGAGCTTCAGCACAGTGTCGCCCTGGTCCTCACTGTCCACGGGGCCTCCGAACTGTGACAGCAAAACAAGGCACACCTGAGGGGCCAGCCCTCCTCGGACACTCAGGCCCGAGTCACAGGGCTCCTGCTGAAAGCCAGGCAGGTGGAGGGAGGCCCGGCCACACCCAGCCAGCCCCCGGCCAGGGCAGACCAGAGTTAGATGACCCCCCTCCCAGCCGGACTCAGAGCCTGATGGACACAAACTCAAAAAACAGTGGCTTAGGATTCACAGGCCATGCCCTGTGTGAGGACTCGCGATTTCCCATGTGGCTTCACTTCACCCCCACAGGCCCTCTGAAACAGACGCCGCCATCCTCCACGCCGTGCCGAGGGGCCATCGGAGGGCAGAGGGGCGACCGCTGAGAGCAGGCCATCAGCACGTGGGAGCCCGCGTCTCTGGGTTCGTGAGGATACAAGGCTGGGTCCTGGCAGAACTGGGCCCTCGGGGCTGTGGGGAGCCCAGGGACTCACCACTGCTTCATAGAGCCTGCCGAACTCCACGTGGTTGGGAGTGAGAATGGCCTTGTGGTAGCCCTGGACGAGGGTTGGCTGCTGCGCCACCAGCCACAGCCCATCCTGTGCAGGACACGAAGCTGCCTTCACTGGGCAGCCTTCGAGGGCCCGTGCTCACTGTGGGGAGAGGAGAGGCTACACTCACCGCGTCGATGACAATGGGGATGCCCGTGGCCTTGGACGCTTCCAGAATGCCCTAGGAAAGAAGACGAGGCCGTCACCTCCCAGCAGGCCAAGCAATACAAAGTCACGGAGCAAACCATCAAGTGCAGAGAGGAGGCAAGACCTAACGCACTGAGCGGACAGGAGCCGCAGACAGGCCAGGCGCCAGACACACCGTGCCTGGCCGGGTTCCCAGGCCAGCCACACAGGCCCCCACACCAGCATTCCGACTCCACAGAGACGCTAACCTGCACATTCAGAAATGGAAGTCATGAGATACGTATTTTCAGTAGCACTGAGATGTTCTCAGGTAATGAACCACAAAAACAGCAAGTCATTTTTCTCCGATAGGATTAAGTCTAAGTGGGTTTCTGCTCTTAGAGGTCTATGTATGTATGGAAACAGGCACGTCAAAACATCAAAGTAGAGTTAGAAGACGGGCTTAGCAGTGAGGGGGTCCATCCGTCCTGGAACAGCACCAGGGTTCCTGTCCCCACCCCGCTCCTGGCTCCGGCTTCCTGCTAGTGTAGCCCGAGAGGCAGGAGATGATGGCTCAAGCATTGGACGAACCATCCCGAGTTCCAGGCTACGGGGTTCAGCCTGGCCCATCAGGCTGGTGTGGGCATTTGGGTGACACAGGCCTGTATTTGTTTCTCTGTCTCTCAAGTAAAAATGATAAGTTTTTTAAAAAGTTTTTGTGCAAAAATTTTGCAGTCTGTTCATAACCTGCATTTCCAGACGTTTTGAAGTGCCCTGTATGCAATCAACATATGGTTGTGTGCTGTCATGAGCCGATACCTTCCGGCACAATTACACATTGCAAGGACGGTCTCTACTTCCCAGCAGAAAACTCTCAGAACAGACGCAGGTGCCTCAGCTGAGTGGCCTGGGCTCCCCCTCCCACGCTGGGCTGCCCGGTTGGAGTCCTGGCTCCTCGGCTTCAGACCCAGCGCGTGCTCACAGGCACCCTGGAGGCGGCAGGCGGGGTCCCCCAGTAAGTGGGAGGCGCCCGGCCTGGCTGCAGCCTGCTGCCGCCCCAGCTGTCGAAAGCCTCTGGGGACTGAATCGGGACATGGAAGATGCCTTTCCACCTCTCTCTCTTTCAAAGAAAATGAAAATAAGTACAAAGAAACTGAAGGAAGAAATTACTGAAAGAGTGTACGCTAGGGGAAAGAACTCAGGAGGCGCCACACACGTCCCTGTATGACTGCGGTGCACCGCAGCGCCGACTGCACTCCTGAGCCGCTGGGCCTCACAGGTCTGCTCTGCCGGCCCGTGCTCGCGCCCCGCCCAGTCCTGCCCGGCGTGCGCGATGGCCCCTGGGAGCGAGCTGAGTGGACAAGGACTGTGTCTTTTTTTTTTTTTTTTTTTTACAGGCAGAGTGGACAGAGACAGAGAGAAAGGTCTTCCTTTGCCGTTGGTTCACCCTCCGATGGCCGCCGCGGCCGGTGCGCTGTGGCCGGCGCACCGCGCTGATCCGATGGCAGGAGCCAGGTGCTTCTGGTCTCCCATGGGGTGCGGGGCCCAAGCACCTGGGCCATCTTCCACTGCACTCCCAGGCCACAGCAGAGCTGGCCTGGAAGAGGGGCAACCGGGACAGAATCCGGCGCCCCGACCGGGACTAGAACCCGGTGTGCCGGCGCCGCAAGGCGGAGGATTAGCCTAGTGAGCCATGGTGCTGGCCATCCATGTCCTTTTTCAACAACTGGCCTGCTTGCCTTGATTCGGGCCTTACGTTAAACTGAGTTCCTGCCAGTTCAGAGCTCCTGGCTGCCAGTGGCAACACCTGACGACGTCACCTCCGCGTGTCCTCTGGTCAGTGTTTAGAGGACAGTCGCCTCAGTGAGCACTCCAACACCGGAGCACAGCCAGCACCGAGTGTCTCCTGCACCGGGCAGCGGTGTAGCCGCAGCCTCCTGCGAGCCCTACACAGCACCACAGCCCCGAGCACCAAGCCCTGTGAGGCCCCGCCCGCCACCCAAACCCTGTGTGTGTGCGCCTGTGCTCTCGCATTCCGCGACGGAACGTCAGAAACGCGTCCTGCAGGAGGTACCCGGAGTGGACAACACAGAAGTGTTCAAGAGGGAAGAAGCTGAGGGTGGGAACCCGTGAAACGTCACAGTAAACCATGGTAGGTGACGTAGCTGTTAAAAAGCAGTAAGTGGGCCCGGCGCTGGGGCGCAGCGGGCAAAGCCGCCGCCTGCCGCGCCGGCGTCCCATACGGGCGCTGGTTCGAGTCCCGGCTGCCCTGGATCAGACAACTCGGGATCCAAACCACTGCACAGCTGAGAAGCCCTCTGTTGCTGGTTAAGGCGCAGTCCTCTCCAAGTCGGCCCAGCGGCACATGAGCCTCACCAGAACCCCTGGCTGCCCTGTGGGGGACGAGCTGAGCCCAGTGAGCGAAGGACTCCCTCTCCCATCTCAGAGGCTCCTGCGTGGCCCCAGCAACCAGACGAGCAAGCGGCCTGAAGACGGCTCCAGAGACCCGGAGTGCAAGGGAAGCCTCCCGTTGAGGTCCGCTGACTTTCCAGCAGGAAGCCCTGCCACGACGGGCAGGAGCGGATCCCACAGATGGCTCTGGAGCGACTGGACGTGCACGTGCACAGGAACGAGGCAGGACCGTCCTTACCCCACTCGGAACACCCTCCCCTAACCACAGGTTAAACCTGAGGATAGGCAGAACCTTAGATGAGACACCCGAGGCGTGAGACAGGAGAAAACAGATTGGACTTCATCAAGATAAGAACTCTGCTGCAGACAGTGCCACTACGGAGGCGAGGACGGCCCCTGCACGAGAAGAGCCATGGGGATCACCCGTTGTGGAGGCGAGGACGGTCCCTGCATGAGAAGAGCCGTGGGGATCACCCGTTACAGAGGCGAGGACGGCCCCTGCACGAGAAGATCAGGTAGATCACCATTACGGAGTGAGGACGGCCCCTGCACGAGATCGAGTAGATCACCCGTTGCGGAGCAAGGGCGGCCCCTGCACTAGAAGATCAGGTAGATCACTCGTTACGGAGCAAGGGCGGCCCCTGCACAAGAAGATCGAGTAGATCACCCGTTACGGAGGCGAGGGTGGCCCCTGCACGAGAAGAGCCGTGGGGATCACGTCTGTGATGAGGGTTCTCTACCAGAACACACATCGGAAAGAACTCTGAGATTCAGACAGGCAAGCGGTTTTGGAACGGAGGGAGGGTGTGCGTTCGCACAGAGGGAAGCCGGCACTCGCGATGCCAGCACCCGGTATCGGGTCCGGTATCAGGGCACGGTTCACATCCCCGCTGCCCGCAGTCCACCTGGGAGGCAGCAGACAGCCCAGGATTCCCTGCCGCCCGTGTGGCCGGGGCAGGCCTTGGCTGGTGGGGTCGTTATCTATATCTTCCTGTCTGGCTCCACCTCTCAGGTAAGGAAGGAACTCCACAAATGGCCAACAGCCGGGAGGAGCTGCTGCCCATCGGCCATCGGCAAGTGGAGGCAGAACCTCCGTGAGCACACACCAGTGAGCGGCCACTCCCCACCTCCCAGGAGGGCTGACGACACGGATGACAGTGAACATGAATCCTACCAAGTGCGGGCACCAGCCCGAACCTGGCCACTGCCAGAGACCCACCGCCACCAACAGCCTGGGGCCTCTCCAAAACGGATGGCAAGAAACGCTCCCCACGACCTGAGAACAAAGATGACGAGGACGGCAGGCCAACCCTACCCGCCTGGGCGCTGAGAGAAGTCAGTGCGCTGCCCCAGCGTCTCTGATCGCGGCTTCTCGTTCGAACTGTGGTGTCGCCCCGCACCCACACCAGTCAGCTGTCTTCCAGGCACTGGCACTTAAGAACAAACTTTTCTTTTAATGTTTGTTGATTTATTTTCATCTCCTTGAAAGAGAGGGAGACGGAGACAGTGAACTTCCATGTCCTGGTTCACTCCCTAAGTGATGGCAACAGCCAGAGCTGGGCCAAAGCCAGGAGCCCGGGACTCCATTGAGAGCTCCCATGTGTGTGGCAGGGGCCCGAGCACGGAGCCCTCTGTCTCCCAGGACACTTTAGCAGGAAGCTGGGTCAGAAGTGGAGCAGCCGGGGCCCGCACCATGGTGTCGCGGTCTAAGCCTCCACCTGTGATGCCGGCATCCCATGTGGGTGCCAAGTCAAGTCCTGGCTGCTCCAGTTCAGATCCAGCTCTCTGCTGTGGCCTGGGAAAACAGAAGGTGGCCCAGGTCTTTGGGCTCCTGCACCCACGTGGGAGACCTGGAAGCTCCTGGCTCCTGGCTTCATGTCAGCCCAGCTCTGTCTGTTGCAGCCATTTGGGGAGTGAATCAGCAGATGGAAGACCTCCCTCTCTCTGCCTCTTCGTAACTCTGCCTTTCAAATACATAAATAAATCTTAAAAAAAAAAAAAAAAATAGTGGAGCAGCCGGGGCCCTATGCTGTGGCATAGTGGGCTAAGCCTCTGGTTCGAGTCCCGGCTGCTCCTCTTCCAATCCAGCTCTCTGCTATAGCCTGGGAAAGCAGTGGAAGATGGCTCAAGTGCTTGGGACCTTATGGGAGACTGGGAAGAAGCTCCTGGCTCCTGGTTCTGGATCAGCTCTGCTCCAGCCGTTGTGTCCATTTGGGCAGTGAACCAGTGGACAGAAGACCTTTCTCTCAGTCTCTCCCTCTCTCTGTCTGTAACTGTACCTCTCAAATAACAAAATCTTAAAAAAACAAAAAAAAAATGGAGCAGCCACAACCCCAACTGGGAATGCGACACCAGATGTGGGCAGCCCAAGCAGCGGTGCACCCACCTCCACAACGCCCGCCCCAAGGACAGGCTGCGAGCTCAAGGCAGTCGGAGAGGCGGCAGGAAGCCTGCAGCACTCCCCGCCCCCCCCAGCAGCGGGCCCCCAGGGAAGCCGCTGTGCACATGTGTCCCCCCCTCCCCCAGCAGCAGGCCCCCAGGGAAGCTGCCGTGCACCTGTGTCCCCCCTCCCCCAGCAGTGGGCCCCCAGGGAAGCCACTGTGCACCTGTGTCCCCCCTCCCCCAGCAGTGGGCCCCCAGGGAAGCCGCCATGCACCTGTGTCCCTCCCCAGCAGCAGGCCCCCAGGGAAGCCGCCATGCACCTGTGTGTCCCCCCCCAGCAGCAGGCCCCCAGGGAAGCCACTGTGCACGTGTGTCCCCCCTCCCCCCAGCAGTGGGCCCACAGGGAAGCCGCTGTGCACCTGTGTCCCCCCTCCCCCAGCAGCAGGCCCCCAGGGAAGCCGCTGTGCACGTGTGTCCCCCCCCAGCAGTGGGCCCCCAGGGAAGCCACTGTGCACCTGTGTCCCCCCTCCCCCCAGCAGTGGGCCCACAGGGAAGCCGCTGTGCACCTGTGTCCCCCCTCCCCCAGCAGCGGGCCCCCAGGGAAGCCACTGTGCACCTGTGTCCCCCCTCCCCCAGCAGTGGGCCCCCAGGGAAGCCGCCATGCACCTGTGTCCCCCCCCCAGCAGTGGGCCCCCAGGGAAGCCACTGTGCACCTGTGTCCCCCCTCCCCCAGCAGTGGGCCCCCAGGGAAGCCGCCATGCACCTGTGTCCCCCGCCCAGCAGTGGGCCCCCAGGGAAGCCACTGTGCACCTGTGTCCCCCCCCCAGCAGGCCCCCAGGGAAGCCGCCATGCACCTGTGTCCCCCCCCAGCAGCAGGCCCCCAGGGAAGCCGCCATGCACCTGTGTGTCCCCCCCCAGCAGCAGGCCCCCAGGGAAGCCACTGTGCACGTGTGTCCCCCCTCCCCCCAGCAGTGGGCCCACAGGGAAGCCGCTGTGCACCTGTGTCCCCCCTCCCCCAGCAGTGGGCCCCCAGGGAAGCCACTGTGCACGTGTGTCCCCCCCCAGCAGTGGGCCCCCAGGGAAGCCACTGTGCACCTGTGTCCCCCCTCCCCCCAGCAGTGGGCCCACAGGGAAGCCGCCGTGCACCTGTGTCCCCCCCCCAGCAGCGGGCCCCCAGGGAAGCCGCCGTGCACCTGTGTCCCCCCCCCAGCAGGCCCCCAGGGAAGCCGCCGTGCACCTGTGTCCCCCCCCAGCAGGCCCCCAGGGAAGCCGCTGTGCGTGTGTGTCCCCCCTCCCGGCCCCGCAGCTGGCCCCCAGGGAAGCCGCCATGCACCTGTGTCCCCCCCCCCCCCAGCAGCGGGCCCCCAGGGAAGCCGCTGTGCGCGTGTGGCCCGCACCTGGACGCTCCCCAGCAGCTGCTCGTCTCGGCCCAGGCCGGGTCCCACGACGAGGGCGTGCAGCCGGGGTAACCACTTCTGCACCTCCTGCACCGCAGCCGGGCTGTCACTGGACAGAGGGAAGAACGGCGCCCTCAGGCACGGCAGCGACGGCGGCTGATGGACGGAAGTCACAGAGGCTCCGAAAGCTCGGGCAGTTGCTGAACGCTCCCACGGCCCGGCCCGGCCCTTCGCTGCACTCAGCCTCCGACCTGACCTCCAGACACGGGCGTGGTCTGTGACGCCGCAGTGCAGACCCTAGCTCTCAACACTGCGGCTGGTTTCCCAGTGACCTGTGCCCAAGGCCCGCGGTTAGCCCACCACCCGTGCTGGGTAGGGAGGCAGCTCCAGCTAGCCCCCCACCCCCACCCCCCATGCCACCGTGGCTGGCGCTGCCTTCCTCGCGGGGACGCCGCCCGCCGCCCTTTGATGGCCCGGTCCCATCTGGCGCCCCACTGCTTCCCCTGTACGACCTACCCCGCTGAGGCCTCTGCCGCCCACAGGCTGCCCTTGTCAGGGTCACCAGGGACCCCCTCCTGCCCCGGGAGGTGCAGTCACTCATCCTTGGTCCTCAGCCCCCACAGGGCCAGGAGCCAGGCAGGACCGACCCGACCCCTCCAGGCTCCTTCCCGCCTGCCCTCTGCTGGCCCCTGGCCTGCCCTCCTCGACCGTGTGCTCCTGTCCTGGACGGGTTAACAATCCCCAAACCTGGGGCCAGCGCTGTGGCGTTAACCCGTCCGAGGTGCCGACATCCAGGATGAGCGCCGTTTGAGTCTGGCTGCTCCGCTTCCGAGCCAGCTCCCTGCTAACACGCCTGGGAGAGCAGAGGACGGCCCAGGTCCTTGGGCCCCGGCCACCCACAGGGGAGATCGGTGAAGCTCCAGGCTCCTGGCTTCAGCTGGCCCAGCCCCAACCATTGCAGCCAGTTGGGGAGTGAGCCAGCAGTTGGAACATTCTCTCTGTAACTCTGACTTTAAAATTGAGTGAGAGTAGAGTAGAGTACAGTAGAACAGAACAGAACAGAAGAATCCCCAAATCGACGCCATCTCTGAGGCCCTCGGCCGCCTACTAGCCACACCCACCCGGGTGTCTCAGTACACCCAAGCCAGCCTGATCTTCACCCCCCGCCCATGCTGCTCCCCGCTCTTCCCGGCACGCTAGATGGCGATGCTACCTTCTCCATGTTTCAAGCACACCCGGACCTGGGTCCCTCCTCACCACCACTGCACCACTGCCCCTCGCCCAGGACCCTGACAGGAGTCTGCTCCCCAGGGAAGCTGATGGCGAGGTCCCCCCGTCCCCTGCTCAGTCCTCACGGTGAGCCCACCTGACCCTCTCCCGTCTCTCAGACAAGTGCTCCCCGACACGCCATCGGCCGCCATTCGGTGCCGGCTTCTGGTGTGGCTCCACTCCGCACTGCTGCCCTGGGCCCCGACACAGCCTGTGCGCCTGTGCTGCCCCTTCGTCAGCTCTCACCGCCTGCCGCGTGGTCCCGCTGTCTGCCCCCAGGGCGGTGCCGCCCAGTACAGGAGGAACCAGCAGACTTAACTGAAACTGCACAGAAGAGACACCTAGCTCCGAGCCCCACCCGCCGCATCTCCAGCGCCAGGGCACAGTCCCGGCGGCTCTGGGAACACGTCCCCACTAGGACTGCCCTAGGAGGCTGAGCAGACCTCCCAGGCCCCGACAGCGTGGGACCAGGCCACCTTGGGCTGCGAGCAGAGCAGACACTGGGCAGACATGCCCAGTGCAGCAGCGGAAGCGCCACGTGACCGGGGGAGCCGCGTGCGGGCAGACTCACAGGACTGGGTGCACGATGAGCTCCGGGCTGTAGGACTTGATGACGGGCGCGGCCTCCCTGGTACAGAACACGTGAGACAGATCTGCGCCCTGCGGAGCGAGAACAGAAGTGGAGCACCAGCGGCTCACCCCCACGACGCTGACCTCAGACCAAACTACAAACGTTAGCCCACAGCAGTCAGGCGGCCATGAGGGAGCACCTGAACCAAAGGCGGGCTCCTGGGGCCCGGCCCCCGGCATGCTGCCGCTGGACACGGCCCTGGGGCTCGGGCAGTGCAGGGCACGGCCACCTGGGGTCAGCTGCTTAGGCTGGGACCGCGGAGGCCCCCAGGACCGTGCTGGCAAAGTGCAGCGGGAACACAATTTGTTTAAAAACAAGTGGGTTTCAACGCTGAAGCGTTTATCCTGGCGCGAGAAGTCGGGGCGGGCGGAAGGTGTGCGTCACCCGCGGTGACTCTGCGATGCTATGGAGACTTCCATCAGGATGTGCGCTTCACCCACATGGAAATAACCCGGCTCGCTCCCCCAGAGCGCCGTAGCGGAGTTCTGGGCGAACGTACCACTTTGAGAGCCGAGATCGCTGCGAAGTACGGGGCTCCGGTGTACCTAGGAAGACAGACGCGAGTGAGATGTCTCCAGTCACGGACGCAGGCCCAGCTGATGAGGACAGTGCAGACACGAGGCGCCCGGCACAGACCCCCATTCGGCAGGCAAGCCCGCACTTCGGAACCCTTCCTGCCGCTGCCTTCCAGGAGCGCGTCTCCCTGTGCCGTGTGGTCGAGCCGAGGCGGGCGGCCACCTGCCGCTGCCTTCCGGGAGCGCGTCTCCCTGTGCCGTGTGGTCGAGCCAAGGCGGGCGGCCACCGCTCAGGGCACTCGGGAGAGGCTGGGGTCCCGAGCAGGAGGACAGCGATGGGCAGGAGGGCAGAGCAGGCAGCGGGCTGGCACGGCCCTCGTGGGCCCCTGCGCTGTTCCCGGCGTCCTCACTGGTGGAGCCGCCGGCAGGCTCTGTGTGCAGCACCCTCAGTGCCCCAGGGCTGCTGTGGCTGCCCACTGGCCCTGCTCCTCGCACTGGGGCAGACACTGGGCGCCTGGGTCCAGCTGCCACCCTACATCCCGTCCTAGGAGAGTGCTCCCCACGGCAGTGGAACAAGCGGGCACTGAGCACAGACAGGCTGTCACTTTCACACTGCCTGCTCCAATGCGGCGTGTCACAGGACTGACTCGTGCACGCCTCCCAGAACAAGTAGAGGGCATGAGAGAGCCATGGAGGGGGAAGCCGCGAAGGACAGACCCAGGTGCAGCCTGCCGGGCACGGGGCACCAGAAACAGAGCAAGAGACAAGGCAGGAGGGAGGGCAAAGGCAGCAGGCGCCCCACAGACCACAAGTCTCTGCGGCCAACACGGCAGCAAGACGTAAAAACCAGGTGACAGCCTGGGGAGGGGCTGGGCCGTCTCGGGGACCCCCAGGAACTGGCAGAACACACAGTATGCAGTGTGGGAGTGGGAGAGCCCAGAACAGGAAGAAGCAGTCACCCAGCACTGGACTCACCAGGGGACAGCTCCACCGGGGCCCCACAGGGCCTCTCCTCCTCAATCACAAAGTCTAGCAGTTATAAAACGCCAAAAAGTTGACCACTTGGTGTCCTATCACATACAGTTTTTAAAAAACATTTCTTTTATTTGAAAGGCAGAATTAGAGGGAGAGGGTAGGGAGGTACAGAGAGAGAGGTCTTCCATCCTCTGGTTCACTCCCCAAATGGCCTCAATGGCTAGGGCTGGGCCAGACCAAAGCCAGGAGCCAGGAGCTTCCTCCAGGTCTCTCACGTGGTTGAGGGCCCAAGCACCTGGGCCGTCCTCTGCTGCTTTCCCAGGCCACAGCAGGGAGCTGGATCAGAAGTGGAGCAGCCGGGACTCGAACCAGTGCCCATATGGGCAGGCAGCACCTGAACCTGCTGTGCCAACAACGCCGGCCGCGTGGCAGACACGTAGGGGACTCTGGGGTTGAACTCGACAGACAGACACACAGCGCCCGACTCGCCACTCACTCCTGACAGCCCCCGACCACGCCGATCCTCCCGTCCTGCCCTTTGTGCTTGCTGGCGCTCAGAGGGGGGACGATGGCTCTCACCAGCAGGGAAGTCCTGTCCATGTCCTGCACGGAGGATGCTGCCCGCGGTGAAAACGCTCTTCGCAGCGCTGGAAAACAGGAAAATGAAGGCGCTCAGGGGCAGAGACCACACGCCGTCCCCGCAGCCCAGACGCCTGGCAGAGCCGAGGCTCCCCCGGCGATCACCCGATCACCGTGTGCCGTCTGCGGGCGGGGGCTGCCCAGAAATCGCAGCACTAAGCTCGCCGGATACCGCGCCTGTTAGCGCCAGGGCCGCCTCAGCCGGTCTGGTTCTGGAGAACCGCATCTGCAGGGGCTTATCCATTACAAACGAACTGTAACCTGATAAGCTGCCAAAGCAACTCTTTCACTGGGCTCAAGGCGGCCTGTAAAATGAGCCGACTGTGCGCTGCTGGCCCTCCTCGAAAAACCTCCCGCGGATTTACCACAGCCCGCCAGAAAGGGGCGCGCTCACGTGTAAGGCAGAGCGGGAGCGTGAAGAGCTGATAAGGCAGAGGAACAATGTGTTCTCCTCACAGGCGCTCGTTTAAATGGCATGTTTGCAGAGCGACACACACACAGTCTGCTGGTTCATTCCCCGAACGCCTGTGACATCCAGGGCACAGCCAGGAGCCCAGAACTCCGCCCGGGTCTCCCGGGTGACATCAGCAGGGGCTGCTCAGACACAGGCAGCCGGGGCTCGAGCCGGGCGCTGAGCTGTGGAGGCGGGCACCGAGCAGCTTCACCCACTTGCCGCACCACCACCCGGCCCCAGAATCTCATCCTCCAGCTCCATCCCTGGCTGGGAAACTGGACACACGTCCCAGGTTCCACCGGAGACCGAGGGCTGTCCCTGCTCCTCCTGATCAAACAGTCCCGTCCTGAAACTCTGCCAGTTTTACTTTTTTTTAAAAAAAGATCGATTTTATTTATTTGAAAGACAGAGTTACAAAGAGAGGTAGAGACAGAGAGGTCTTCCATCTGCTGCTTCACTCCCCCGATGGCCGCAGTGGCCGAGCTGTACCAATCTGAAGCCAGGAACCAGGAGCTGCTTCTGGGTCTCCCCTGTGGGTGCAGGGCCCGAGGACTGGGGCATCTTCTGCTGCTTTCCCAGGCCAGAGCAGAGAGCTGGATCGGAAGTGGAATAGCGGGGTCTCAAAGTGTTGCCCATAAGGAATGCCGGCGCTTCAGGCCAGGGCTTTAACCCGCTGCGCCACAGCATGGGCCCCCAGTTTTACTTTTTGCTCAAGAAACTCATCCAGGGGCCTGTGGCACAGCAGGGTAAGCACCACTTGCGATGGCTGCATCCAATGTCACAACACTAGTTCAATTCCTAGCAGCTCCACTTTCGGTCAGTGCACGGAGGGCTCAGGTTCGTCCATGACACACACAACGGGGACCCGGATGGAGTCCTGGCTCCTGACTTCAGCCAGGCCCAGCCCAGGCTGCTGTAGAATTTGGGGAGTGAACCAGTACCCGGATGACCTCTCTCTCCCTTCTATGTCTCTCTGTTATTCTTTCAAATAAATTAAAAAATATATTTTTAAATTTTAGATTAGAAGAGCATTGACCAGTCTGTTCTTGGACGAGCAGCTGGAGCCGCCTGAGCTGCTGCATCGTTCACACTCCGAGAGGGAAAGGGAACACGAGGGCCACCACCCACACCTCTCACGCCTCCCAGATCAACCCAGGAGGAGGAGTCACGCAGAACCCCGAGAAAAGTACACGGAGGCGGCGCAGCCACCGAGCCCTGCACCGGCGAGGCCTGCCTTCCCGAGCCCACCTGCTCCTGCCCCGAGCCGGCGCAGAGCCAGGCCAGGGACACCCCGCCTTCCCCGAGCACTCCCGGCACGCACACGGCCCTGCTGGTGTCCCTCTGACGAGCTCGTGACAGGAACTGGGTGCTTGCACAGGGAGAGTCGGTGCCAGCGTCACCGCGTGCCGTCGTGACAGCGCCTGACACACGCGTTTCACACCTTGGCACGCTAACACGCTAACACGTCCCTCTGGACGCGCCGGGGCTGCCAGAGCTCCCGGGCCGGCGCCGCCGCCGCGGGCTGGAGAGCCTGGCCCCCGGCTCGGGCGCACACCCCGTCCGCGTCCCGGCCCACGCCGCCGGGCGTAGCGGTCAGCCCTGGGCTCTCCCGGGCCGAGCGCGCCCCGCACGGTCACTCGGCCTTCCGAGCAGAAGCGGCCGGCGGCGGGTACCTGCGTTCATCGGCGGCCCCAACAGCGCGAGCGCGGCAGACAGCAGGGCAACGACGGCCCCGCCAAAGACCGCGGCCCGGGCTTCCGCCCGGGTGGCCATCTCGGAAGGGCCGGAATCGATCTTACCTCGCCGGGAGCAGGCCGGAATTGCCCTGCAGCGCAGAACCACAGCCATCGGCGGCCTTCCGGGTTCCCGGCTGCCCCTGCGCCGCCGCCGCGACCGCAGCCCACAGGCGGCCTTCCGGGTTCCCGGCTGCCCCCGGGGCGCCCTGGGCCACAGCCATTGGACAGCCCTGGAGGCACGGCCGGAACCACAGCCATGGGGCACGCCTTCCGGAATCCCGACCACCCCCGCGCCTCTCCAGAGCCGCAGCCATTGGACGTTCCTTCGGGGGCTCCCGGCGGCCCTCGCGCCGCAGACGGAAGTGAGGGCCCCGCCAGCGGTAGTACAAAGGCCGGGGCGGCGGCACCCCTCCACACCCCGCTCCGGCTCCTCTTGTCCAATGACGTCCGGGTTCAGATTATTGACAAGCACGAGGGCCAACCAGATCTGGCCCCGACTCTGGCCCGTTAGAGCTTTGCAGGTGAAGCAAGTCGGGTCTTGATGACGTAGGTTTCCGGTTGTCCTCTGGGCGTCGCTGAGGCCAGTCGAGTGCGGTCGGAGTGGGCGCCGGAGAGCCGGCCGGGGGCCCCGAGTACCCAGGGAGGACGGGCCCACGACACCCCCGGGTCGCTCACGCCCTCGTGTCTACGTGACCTGCACGAGCGGTCACCTGCGGGATCTTGCAGCAGCTCGGGTGACCTCAGTGTTGCCGGAACAGCTGTGCTGCGGGGGCGGGGGGACCAGGGAGTCTGCACCTAAGAGCAGGTGCACGTGGGGCCCGAGTGCTCCCTCGCAGCCACTGAGTCTCGGTCATCCTGTGTAAGCTGCAGGACCCGCGAGGGGCCATGCGCCCGGCTCCTGCGCTGGCCCCCTCACCCGGTGACACAGGGGAGCCCCCGGGGCTCCCCGCCAGCCCTGTCTCACCCGGTGACTCAGGGGAGCCCCCGAGGTCCCCCGCCAGCCCTGTCTCACCCGGTGACTCAGGGGAGCCCCCGAGGTCCCCCGCCAGCCCTGTCTCACCCGGTGACTCAGGGGAGCCCCCGAGGTCCCCCGCCAGCCTGTCCCACCCCGGACCTCGGGGTCCCGCCCGGCAGCCCTGTCTCACCCGGTGACTCAGGGGAGCCCCCGAGGTCCCCCGCCAGCCTGTCCCACCCCGGACCTCGGGGTCCCCCGCCAGCCCTGTCTCACCCGGTGACTCAGGGGAGCCCCCGGGGTCCCGCCGTCCTGGTGGCTCAGAGTCTGCTCCCTCTGCTCCTGCTAACCACGGCCTGGGTGTCTCACCCCCACCTGCTAGAAGCCTCCCCAGCAGGGAGTCTGTGTCCTCTCTCGGCCCCACCTGGCTTTGACAGCTGCAAGTCAGGGCGCCTGCAGCACTTCCTGCGGGTGGGATGGCCTGTGGCTTTCCCGGTGGTCCACGGCGCACTCTGCGGCCACCTCGGATCCGGAGCCAGCCGGGCTCCGAAAGGGGGTGGGTGGGGCGGGGCCTGGGGAGAGGGAGGGGAGAGAGGGGACGGGTAGGGAGCCTGGGAGGGAGGGGATGGGAGGGCGGAGCCTGGGAGAGGGGTTGGGGGCGGAGCCTGGGAGAGAGGGAACGGGTGGGGCGGAGCCTGGGAGGGTGGAGCCTGGGAGGGAGGGGATGGGAGGGCGTAGCCTGGGAGGGAGGGGATGGGGGCGGAGCCTGGGAGAGGGGGCGGGGCGGAGCCTGGGAGGGAGGGGATGGGGCGGGGCCTGGGAGGGAGGGGATGGGAGGGCGGAGCCTGGGAGAGAGGCGATGGGTGGGACGGAGCCTAGGGGAGGGTGGGGGTGGGCGGGGCCGGCGCGCTCCCGGGACGGGCGAGGGCTGCCCCTCCACAGGCCCCACATTTGCTGCAGCGCTGTGTGCGGGGTTCGCTGAGTGGGGCCCCAGGAGTGAGGGAGACGGGCACTGCGGGCCTCTGGAGCCGGCAGGTGAAGTTGGAGGTGCTGTTCATGGCGCCTCAGCTGTGCCCTCCTCGGAGGTGTGGCCAGGGCGTGCCCGCTACAGACGCGCAGAGTGGAATTCACGAACAGCACAGGGGCTGCTGGGGTGCTGGTGACGCCTTGTGCTCCCTGGGAGTCGCAGCCAGAATCTCTACCCACAGCCCCATTGCCAGGGCTCCCCGGGGCCCCTGTGCGCCCTCCACTCCCATCCCCTCCGGGTCTTCCTCCACGCCGCCCGGCAATCTGACCTTTCATCCAGCCAGTACTTGGGGTGCCCCTGCCCTACCCCCAGGGTGCTCAGTTTGCCATACCTCAGGCAAAGACGGAGGAACGCAGTCTGCCTTGTGTCGCGGTGGCGGGTCTGTCCCCTGAGATGGGACGGGAGCCCCTGCAGGTGCCTGTACAGGAACCCGCGTCCCAGTGCTGGTGTGGGTTAATGTGGCGAGGCCCTAACCCCAGAACCTCAGGATGCAGCTGCATTTGGGATCAGGTGTCTGTAGGTTTAACCAAGGTAAGGTTGGGCCATCAGGGCACAGGTCCTGACCCAGCAAGACTGATGTCCTTATGAAAGGGGACACTGGACCGGCGCTGTGGTGTGTGTGGGGGTAAAGCCACCACCTGCAGTGCCAGCATCCCATGTGGGCGCTGGTTCGAGTCTCAGCTTCTCCTTTTCAGATCCAGCTCTCTGCTATGGCCTGGGAAAGCAGTGGAAGATGTCCTGGGTCCTTGGGCCCTGCACCCATGTGGGAGACCCGGAAGGAGCTCCTGGCTCCTGGCTTTGGATCAGCCCGGCTCTGGCCATTGCAGTCAACTAGGGAATGAAGCAGCAGATGGAAGACCTCTCTCTCTCTCTCTCTCTCTCTCTCTCTGCCTCTCTGCCTCTCTGCCTCTCTGCCTCTCTGCCTCTGTCTGTAATTCTACCTTTCAAATAAATAAATAAATCTTGGGGAAAAAAAAGGACATTGGAGACAGAGGCCCACACGCAGGAACACGAGGGAAAGGGGGCTGCGTGAGGACAGGCAGGTTTGGGAGTTGGCAGCTCAGCTCCTAGCCGGGGATGCCACGGGTAGCTGGAGCCACCGGAAGGCGGGAGAGAGGGGTCAGCTGCAAGGAGCAACGGGGAGGCAGCCTCTCCAGGAACGGAGCGTTTATTTGGGATCATCCCGGGGTTGCCGTCGGGATGGATGTGCTGGGAAGACCATGGGCTCAGCCAAGAGAGAGGACACTTCAGGGCCGGAGGGGAGGGTCCACCCAGACCGCTGGCTCCAGGGCTTGTCGCAGTGTGTCCACTGGGGATGGTGGCCACTCAAGGAAGGACAAGGTTGTCAGAAGTGGCTTAGCCGGGAAATTCTGACCGGGAGGTCCTTCGCGGCAGCTCCTGTGACACCTGTGTGAAGTCGCTGCCTGCCTGGCTCCCAGCTCCCCTAGGCAGGGGAGGACAAAAGTGACCCAGGGGACGCTGACGGTCGCCCCCTAGAGGCTTCACGGAGTACAGCGCGGCCCCCAGGGCACCCTGATACCGGGGCTCTCTGCCGCTGCTCTGGTTTACAGGCGCCCGGCTTGTGCCGCTGAGTTTGGGCAGCCACGGGAGACCGAGGCAGTGGCTTAACCAAAGAGCGTTTTGTTTTTGTTTGCTTGTTTTTGTGCAGAGCCAAAAGTTCTTGGAAAACAAGGTGTGGCCACCTGACAGTGCCCTTACAGACCCCATGGCAGGGGGAGGCATCCCATAGTCCCCTTTGTGTCTGCGTTCCGCCTTCCTTGTCTTCGTTGCAGGGTGGCTCCACCACTCCGGCGTTGTCTGCCTCACAGGGAGGAGGAGGAGGAGAGGAGGAGGAGGGGTGCATCCTCTCAGTTCCCCCAGCGCCCTCTGCTCCGTGCTCAGTGTAGACGTGTGTTCTGTGGCACCGTGCTGGCTGCAAGGGAGTCTGGGCAGTGTAGCGTTCTCGCCAGGTGCACTGCAGATGAGAAACGGGTCTGTCAAGGGGAGACACGGGGAGCAGACGATGGCTTAGGAGCACAAGTCACCTCCACGACCTCAGTGCCGCAGGGTGAGATGGGAAAGCTGCCGGTGCCGGGCAGTGCCTGGCGTGACCGTGCCTCTCACTGACCTTGCTGCCCCGCACGCTGGTGCCCCAGTCCTGGGGAGCTGCTAGGCCTGGGCACAGGTAAGCCTGGGGGGGGTCCCTGGACTCCTCCATCTGGGATGAGCCTCCCCCATGCCCTCCCCTTCCTGGTGGCCCAGAGACTCCCACAGACCCTTTTTTCTTTTTGAAGATGTATTGGGGCTGGTGTTGTGGCGTAGCGGGTAAAGCTGCCCCTGCAACACCATCATCTCATATGGGCTGCTCCACTTCCAACCCAGCTCCCTGCCAGTGCACCTGGGAAAACAGTGGAAAATGTCCCAAGTCCTTGGGCCCCTGCAGCTATGTGGGAGACCCGGAAGAAGCTCCTGGCTTCTGGCTCCAGATCGGCCCAGTTCTGGCTGTTGTGGCCATTTGGGGAGTGAACCAGTGGAAGGAAGATCTCTCTGTCTCTCCCTCTCTCTGTCTGTAACTCTGCCTCTCAAATAAGTAAATCAGTCTTTAAGAATAAGAAAACCAGATTCAAGAAGGAACAGTGGGACAAACCGTGCTGGATGGTTTTGCAGGAGACATACAAGTTTGCTTCTGAAAAATTAGTGGAGCCGGGCAGTGTGGTTTGTGGAGCCGGGCAGTGTGGTTAGTGGAACCGGGCAGTGTGGTTTGTGGATCCGGGCAGTGTGGTTTGTGGAGCTGGGCGGTGTGGTTTGTGGATCCGGGCAGTGTGGTTTGTGTAGCCGGGCGGTGTGGTTAGTGTAGCCGGGCAGTGTGGTTAGTGGAGCCGGGCAGTGTGGTTTGCGGAGCCGGGCAGTGTGGTTTGCAGAGCCGGGCGGTGTGGTTTGCAGAGCCGGGCAGTGTGGTTTGCAGAGCCGGGCAGTGTGGTTTGTGGAGCCGGGCAGTGTGGTTTGTGGAGCCGGGCGGTGTGGTTTGCGGAGCCGGGCAGTGTGGTTTTGCGGAGTTCCCAAAGATGAGAAGAAACGGAGCAGAGTGAGCAGGAAGGGGTGGGCGTGGGCACGGGGGCATCTGCTCCCACGTGGGAAGCACCTTGGCGCCAGCAGCTGCTGTCCCTGTGCCTGGGTGACTGTCCCCCCTTCCCGGGCCCTTAGCCTGCCAGGGAGCGCAGACGTGACAGGGACGTAGCCGAGGGAAGAACATCTCAGAATTCTCAGAGCCGGCACCTTTCTGTTTCTCAGACTTGGGGAAGAACCAGTCAGTCCTGGGAAGACTGGTGTCTCGGGGGGCGTATTGGAAACACAGAGCAGAAGGTCCTGTTTCTAAGTCTGTTACGACTCAGCGCCTGTCTTCAGGCACAAATGAAACAGTCGTGGGA